GAGGCACAGGGTGAACCAACCAGGACCAACGGGTACCCCAGATCCAGGCTCACAAATCGAGCCGGTAGAGAGCCAGGCCCCAGGCGGCCGTCTCCTGGACGCCGCCTCCCTGGGGCCCTGGGCTGCACGCCCTCCCTGGAGCCTTCCCCAATGTGGGCCAGGCGCCCTTACATAGTCTCTGGGGGGCTCAGCCTTGTCACTCAGGCCTGGCCCGTTGAGGGGGCGGGCTCATGGCTTCCTCTGTCCATGCTGGTTCACTGTCACTGTCCCTCCTCTGAACACCTGGGACGCCCGGCCCGAGTCGCACAGGTCCTGGTGGGGTGGACAGACTCCGGATGCAGCACAGACCCACAGCTCAGTGGTTTGTGAGTTCTTCTCTCTCCCTCCTTCTAGAACCTCCACCCCAACAGCCCAGTGCTGCCTTGCCCTGCCCCCCGAGTCCGTTAACCCGGCGACCTTCTTGCCTTCATCCTCTCCATCTCCTCCCTGGTTTAGATCCTCTGATTTGTTGTAATTGTTCCCCTGATGCAGCCCCAATTCCCTCGTGCTCTCTCATTCCGTCACCCGCATCCATCAGAAACCTACCTCTCCCTCCAGGCTGCGCCGAGGGTAACTACTGAGAAACAGGCCACTGTCCCACAGGGTCTCAACTTCTGATCACAAACACAGCCCTCAGATGGCCGCCCCATCTTGCTCGGAGAGAATGGCCATGTGCTGGGCTCCCCTCTGGCCCCCCCACTGCACAGGAGGCCTCGGGCCACAGGGTCCCTCTGCAGGCCCTTGCATGGCTCCCTCCCTCCCTGCCAGGCCCTGCCCCCACGCCTGCTTCTCAGAGGAGCCCCTGTCCTCCAAGGGCAGGACCCCAGCCGCCGTGCGCACGCCGCCCCAGTGTCTGCAGCAGCTGGGACGCGCAGCAGGCCCCGGATAAACCGCGTGGCTGAGGGAGCCAGGGGCCTCCTCCAAGCCCGGGCTTCCCTGGCTGTGAACTGCGGGGCTGGCTGGGCCCGACCCGCGTGCCCTCCATGCAGGGGACACACATCAAGCACCCAGCCTAGTGGCCCGTGAGCACTCCCCACGCACAGGGGCTCTTGGCCCCTGCAAACCCGGGGGAGCATTCTCCTCTGGCAAGCCAGGCTCTCACACGTAGGAATGGCTTCCTGTCTTCTTGGCCACTGAGCAGGGCTGCTGCTCTACCTCCAGGGCGGGTGCTTGACAGAGGTGAGAGCCGAGGTCTCGAGACAGGGACGACCGCTGAGAAGTACCTGCCCAAGCTGCTCCGGGCTGGGGGTGCCAAGCGTCACTGTCCCTGACCTGCTGTGAGGACAGGGAGCCGCCCAGCCTCAGCACACGTCTGGGTGAAGGAGCCCAGCCCAGGACTGCCCCCCGCCCCACAGTCATCACTGTGGCTAACGGTCCCGCTGAGGGGTCTCTGTGATGTCTCCCACGGAGCCATCGCTGAGTGGGGATCTGAGGGGTGCCGGGCAGAGCCTGGTCATGCCAGCAGGCCCAGAGGGCCTGGCACGTGCTTCCCGCCTCAGGGCTGCAGCAGACAGCGTGGAGCAGGCCCCCTAGCCGGCCAGATCTGAGCGTGGCCCCACACGGTGGCTCAGGGCGGGGAAGGAGCAAGGCCCTGCCACCACCCTGCAGTGTGACCTGGGACAGTTTCTCCCTCCCTCCCTTTGTGGAAACTGGGCTTTGTATTCCCTCCAGAATCCTCTCAGCTCTTTAAGTAAACTGACAAGGGCCCGAGAGGTCAGCTGACCTCTAGGCCAAGAAGGGCTACTGCTGATGGCACAGGGTCAGGAGAGTTCAGTCACTCAGTCGTATCCAACTCTTTGGGTCAGGAGAAGCAGGGTAAAGGACACACGTTCAGGAGCGGGCCCACTGTGAGCCCTGAATATCTGCTGGCAGGTGGGCAAAGGCTTAGCGGGTGCTGCCCTGACCCCAGGCCCCAGACAGTGAGGGATGGACAGGTCAGGCCGGCTCTCCTGCCCCGTCACCCACCCACGGCCACCAGTCTCCAGGCAGGTGAAGGCAGCCCCCGGCCCCACGGCTCACCGGGGAAGGCGTTGATGTCGATGACAGCGTGCTGCCCCGTCTGGTTGTTGATGATGATGTCGATCCCGAAGAGAGACACACCCAGTGCCTGCCGCAGGGCCCGGGACAGCTCCCGGATGACCTCATCGCTCGGCCGCTCGAACACGCCCTCGATCTTGTCCAGCTACCAACACACATACACGATACACAGACACACCGGAGTCAGACCTCGGGCAGGGAGACGCGATACTAAACCATAGAGACCCCCACTGCGGCGCCATGAGGCCGGCTCTTACCTCCAGGCAACAGGCAGGACAGACCCTCTAGGATCAGCCCGAGGATGGCCATTTCCAAGTCCTGCCATGGGCTGGGCAGGCATGGCATCTGTGACCTCTAGCCCTCATGCCCACCGGGGAGGCGAGCATCATTACCAGAATTTTACACAGAGAGGCACTGATGCTCAGGGTCAGGGCTGATTCACAGCCACGTAGCTTAGGGTTGCATTTGGACCCAGGTATTTAGCCCATGGAAAATCCCATGGACTGAGGAGCCTGGTGGGCTACAGTCCATGGGGTCACAAAGAGTTGGACATGACTGAGCGACTTCACTTATTTAGCCTGCAAGAGCCATGGGCTTCCCAGGTGGCACTAGTGGTAAAGAACCCGCCTGCCAATGCAGGAGACATGAGAGACATGTGTCTGATCCCTGGGTCGGGAAGATTCCCTGGAGGAGGGCATGGCAACCCACTCCAGTATTCTTGCCTGGAGAATCCCCATGGACAGAGGAGCCTGATGGGCTACGGTCCATGGGGTCACAAAGAGTCAGACATGACTGAAGTGACTTAGCGCACACACACTGAGCCTGTAAAAAACCAGGTTCTTAGCAGAAAGGAAGGAGAGTCTGCTGTGACCCCACGGGGGTCAGGGCACCTAAGAGCTGCACCTTGAAGAGGGGAAGACTGGAGTGGCTGGGCCGAGGGACCCAGGTGAGAGCACGGTGGAAGCAAAAGTGCAAGGCAACCACCCATGGAACAGAGTTGGAAGCAGCTGGAAAAGTCGGGGAGGGCGTGGGCAGCGGGGGGAGTTTTTGTCAGCATCACCACACCGGCCCATCGTTGTCAGAGCCTCAAGGCTGTGAGGCGGTGGGTTCCATGGACCAGCCTTCATTTATTGGCTGGTACTGGGTGGGGGGAGGTTTGGACACAGGGCTCCTGGGTGGGACTTGTCATTCTCCCCTTCCAGACAAGTTGCTAACCTTGGTGTTTCCACCCTAGCTCCCCATGCTCAGCAAGCTTCCCCAGAGTCTACTCAGCCACTCCTGCCCAGCTCCTGGGTCTGAGCTCAGCTTTTGGCGATGCTTCCACAGGGCTGGGGAGCTGGCCTCGGGACCCCACCGTGACACCACTCGTGTTCTGCTCTAATCACAGCTGGCCTGGGACAGGCAAGTCTTCAAGGGCTCAAGCTTGGCCCCTGGAAGGAAGCAGCACATCACCCTGGGAAGGACTGGAGCAGCTGGCTCTGGATTTGAATCCAGACCATGACTTTCCTGCTCTGCGGTCTTAGAGAGAAGTACTTGGCTTCTCTGCACCTCGGTCTGCTCATCTGCCAATCGGGCCATCGAGGCCTCTACCCCAGACAGCTGGGAGGAGTCACAAGGTCATTTAAGCAGTGGGGACAGCACAGGTCTGGCTGCAGGAGCTGCCGCACCTGCATTTTAGGGCACGGATGGCAGCGTGTCACCCCTAAGTCGGCCAGAATAGGGCTCACGCGTGGTGCTCAGTAGATACCAGAGTCCTAAGGCTGCTGGGATGGGGTCAAAGGGGAAGCACAGGCACTGATCCACCAGAAGTAAAAAAAAGAAGCTGGGTCAAAAAGTTAAATGGAGAATTACCACGTGGCCCAGCAGTTCCACCCCAGATGTGTAACTTGTATGCCAATGTTCACAGCTGCATTATTCACAACAGGCAAAAGGCAGCAACAACCCGAATGTCCATCAACAGATGACTGGATGAACGGAATGGGTTACCCAGACAATGGAATACTGTTCTGCCACCCTTTGCTACAATGTGGAGGAACCTTGAAAATATTAGGCCAGGTGAAAAAAGCTGGACACAGTAGGTTACCTACTGTATGGTTCCCTTAAAATGAAAAGTCCAGAAGACATAAATCCATAGAGACGAAAAGCAGATTAGTAGCTGTCAGGGGCCAGGAGGAGCAGGGAACGAGGAGGGATGCTTAGTGGGTATGGGATTCTCTTTCGGGTGATGAAAATGCCCGAAATGAAAATGTTCTCTGGAACAAGACAGAGGTGGTGGTTGTACAACACTGTGAATGTACTTAATACCACTGAATTGTTCATGCTAAAATAACTAATCAGAGAAAACTTTCCTGGAGGTCCAGCGGTTAAGACTCCATGCTCCCAATTTCAGGGGGCCCAGGTGCGATCCCCTGTCAGGGAACCAGATCCCACATGCTGCAATGAAGATCTGATGCAGCCCAGTAAATAAATATAAAAAAAACCCACAAACAATTGAATGTGCCTTTCACCTGGATTTAGAAAAAAGAAGTGAGGCTGGGTCAGCCGGGCTGGGACAGAGCCTGGGCAGCACCCGCAGGACACGTGGCCCTCACCCCCGGCACAGGAATCCGAGTGGCCAATGGGGAGCTTCCAGACATGCGCAGAGCAGGAAGGCCACCCCTGGGCACCGTGATGCTCTACCGTGAGAGCCGTCTGCCCTGGCGCTGCAGGCAGGGCCCCCCTACCCATGGCCCCACTGCCTCGGCGTCCCACCCTGGGGAGCCACTGTTTGGGGGACAGCATCAGCCTGGCTGGGACAGGCACTTGTCCGCTTGGCACCTGCTGAGCCCACCCCGTGCCCGCCTCCCACTCATGCCCAGTGGTGCGGGCTCAGCAGCTCCGCCACTGGTCCCGCAGCCCTGGGGGACGCCCGGCACTGCCCAGTCTCTGCCGCGTGCCCTGAGCTGTAATGGGCCCCACCGGGCCCTGCTTTCTCGCCTCGGTAAATGGAATACTAAAAACACTGCCGCTGAGGGACTGTGGCAAGGATCCACAAAGCTCCCGAGTCAGGCCTGCAGCGCAGGCCCGGCAGCAAGGGGACCCATGGCCGCTGCTCTGTCACAAATCCTCATGACCCACTGTTTATAAAAGCTCTTTCTCAGCTCAGCGAAGGGACCTCAGACATCCTTCTGCAGCCCTCTGCCTGTCTGCAAAGAGGTGGCGATGGAGGTGCTGAGGTGAACCCCCAGGCCCCCCCGTCACCGACACAGACCGAGCGCCTGACACAGTTCTGGGCGCTTCATCTAGGGACCCCCGGAGTCCCAGGACCATTCGAGGGGCAGGGTGGGGACACTGAGGCTCAGAGGGACAACTCGACTCGCCACACAGCTGGAAGGCTGTGGAGCTTCTGATTCCAGGCCGTCTCGTTCAGTGTCGCACTCAACTAATACCCGGTCCTGTGTGGGGGCCTGCCAGTCAGCTGGGAGCGGCGTCCACCCTCGGGGGCATCCGACCAGGGAGGGAGGCAGGGCTCCCTGCACCTGCACGCAGCCACGATGGGGACTGGGGGGACCCCACGGGCGGAAGGACGCTAAAGGCTCGTCTGGACACCCGCACCTGGGAATGGACGTGTCTGTGCAGGAGGGCCTGACATCCCGAATGGAAAGGGGACGGCCGACTGCCTTTCCCGTTCCTTGTTTATGTGTTACCAGCCCTGGAGGACCCCCACGCAGCAGTCATGAGCTGAGGGGAAGGGCAGGGCTGGGCGGTGGAGAGACGGTCTTGCGATGTCTCCAGGCTGACCTTTCCCACGTAGCAGATGGAGACATGGGCTGAGTCACAGGCGGGTGATAAACCGGGAAGGCGACTTTGCTTCCAGCCCTCACGGTGACCCTCTGGCCTCTGTTAACAGCCCAGTGGTGACAAGGGCCGCACTGTGCCGGGGGGGCGGCAGGGACAGCTTCTCCTTAGGGTCATGGAATGCGGACCCCCTCTGAGAGTCACTGGCCGAATAAGGTCTGGGAGCCTCGCAGGGAGGACGCCCTGAGGTTTCTGAGCTTTCATGAGACCAGAACATTCTCTCACACAGAACACCTATCTCAGTCTTACAACGTGCATGGCCAGGCGCCAAGAGGTTCTCTTTAGAATCCGGTTGTTCTCCAAGCGTCCCTGACCACAGAACTTGTTCCCGGGTTACGTCTATCAACATCCCGAGGGAGGCTGGTGCTCACTCCAGGTCCCTGCCGTGCCTGGGCTCCGTTGAACCCTCGGCAAACGGCCGGCTCCTCAAAGGAACCAGGAACAAATGAGGAATGGGATCGGCGGCCTGGGTCAGGGGACAGCGGGTCATGGGCAAGCACAGGCCCTAGCCTGGAACGGAGGGGAATGAGGCCCGGAGGTGGGGGTCAGCTGTGGAGGGGACATGGCGAACCCTCCCAGAACGGCCGGGAGGGCTCTGGCGTACAGGAGCTGGAGACCTGGCGGAGGGCTCGGTTCAGCAGCAGGGGCAACAGAGGCCACGGGCTCTGGGGACACGGCGGAACAGCAGGGCGTGCCACAGTGCTGATTCCTAACTGCTCGGCGAGTGCCAGGGAGGTAAGAAACCCTGAATTCCTGCAGGACCCAGCTTTGGAATCAGACTAATCTGGGGTCAGCTCTCATCTCTGCCCCTGCGTGAGGGCCCTGTGGGTTTAGACAAGTTATTTAACCTGGTTGAGCATAGCTCTCCCCTCGGGAAAGCAGGGATGTCTGTCCACCCCTGCAAGGCTGTTTCGGGCCGGAGGATGGAGCCTGACGCCCACTGACTGAACTGCAGCCCCGAGCCCACTCCCCACCGTGAGCCACCCCAGCAGCTGCAGAAGTACACGGCAGGAGCTCAACAAACGCTTACTGGACTCCCATGGACAAGGAAAGAAAAAAGGAAAACTGAGGTGGTGCTGTCTCTTGCCTCCTTTTTTTTTTTTAGTAAACCAGGAAAAGGCAGCTTAGAAAGCAGGTCTTCAAATTCCTCACAACTGGGGGATTTCCTCACGTGGGAGAAGTTAGACAACCGTCCACCTGAGTAACCAAATGGTGAACGGGCCTGGCTGTGATGGCCGTTGCCATGGAGGCGCAAAGCGAGCAAGGAAGAGGCGGTCTCTGGAACCCCTCCCTGGGGTCCCCGGCCTGGCGGGGAAAGGCCTGCCACCCTGCCCCGCTGGGAAGCCAACGTCACCCCACCCCCAGGCTCGGCGGGAGGGACATACCGCGGTCAGGACCGACGACGACTCTGGCTTAGACACGTTGTGGCTGTTGAAGAAGATGGACTCGCGGTCTGAAAAGCAAAGACGGGAAGGAGCCAGAGTTAGAAGCTCCAGGCAGAGACGGCGATTCCACCACCGGACACCAGGGGGCAGCACCACCCCGGCCACAGGCCGTGGTCGCCTCGGGGCTCAGGGTCTGGCAGCAGCCGCCTGGGCTCCCTCCCACCCGAGAGACACCACACCATGGAGGGACACACGCCGAGTCAGGGCTCCTGTTTCTTCTTCTTCCCATATAAACGTGAATGGCTTGACGAGCCTACCTCCCCTCCACTCCCATCTCATACCTGGTTTACCCGATACCTAGGCCCCTTCCCCAGAGTGTGTCCAGCATGTCTAACGGACGTGGCACCAGAAAGCGGGGCTGAGTGAGAAAGGGGAAATGCTGCATATGGGAACACCAAAGGCCCAGAGGACAGAGGTCAACTGATGCCACTTCATCCCGCACCCCCAACCCCTCCTGGTTCTGCCCATGGAATGCCTTTTCAGGCACATTTAGGCTGCCACGGGGCACGTGAATGCTTAAAACACAAAGGGCTCTGCTGTTTCCCAGTTATTTAGGGGAAAAAAATAGGAAATCAGAACATGGGCTTTTATAGGATCCATCCAAGAAAGCATAGAGAATAATTTCTGTCTGGCTTTGGAAACGGGCACAGCCGCCTGAAGTACCCTCCACATCTTCCCACACCATCTCCCCCAGCTCCCACTGCCCCCAGGCCCCCTCAGTCCCATGGAGAGGCAGATTAATAATCTCAATCCCAAGATTATTAGAGTGATGAGCAGTCGGTTTGTTCATTCATGCCCTGCAGAGTAAAGGCACGTCCGTTGGTCAGACACATGCTCTCCAGTACTTGGAAGTGTGCAAATGCATGGATCACAAAACCAGGAGCCTCAGGATTGAGAGATCTGGTAAAGACCCTCATCACACTAGGACCCCACGCCCCCTCACCCCGAGAAGAACACAGGCCACGAGCCCCCACGTGGCCCCGGCAGCCTCTGCTTTAGTCCTTCTGGGTGAGGTGTTCTGGCTCCCGTCCCCCAGGACACATTGCTCAGCCCTGAGACTCAGGAAGGAAGGGCCCCGCTGGGCACCGCTGTGTGCCGGGGGCTGAGCCATGGGGGCACCTGCTCTGGTTGCCAACGTCCCCCCCCCACCCCCCCGCCAGCTCCAGGGTTACAGCGCCGCAACAATCATGCATGAGGAAGTGATTCGGGCGGAGGCCAAGCAGGCAGGCGCTGAGATGTACCTGGCGTCTTTCCCGCTAGCGGGGCACGCAGGCCCCTTGCCGCCCCGGTGTGCCCGAAAGTCCTCCTACCGCTCCGACCAGAGCCAGTCCAGACGGGGGGCACGAGAGACGGTCCTGGGGAGGAGCCTGGGGAAAATAAACACCCTGCGGGACTTGCGCCAAGCAGCCCCACTGATCTCTACTCTTGAGCGCCGACAAGCAAGAAGACTGAGCCTTCGGGGTTAGTAAGCCCCGTGGGCTAGAGGTCAGAGCAGGGCTTGAGCAGCTGGGGTGGGCCTTCCAGACTCTGCAGGCACTGCCCACATTCTCATCCTGTAGCCCAGCCTGGCCCTGCTGAGCTCAGGGCACCTCCCACCCAACCAGTGGGACCCAAGGGCAACGGCCAGAGTGGCAGAGTAGGCCCGGGGAGAGAAAGGCCACCCAGGGCAAGCGGACACAGCCAAGTTCAGGGAGGCTGAGAAGCCACAGAGAACAATGTGGATGCTTAGCTATGCAAGGAAGGGAAAGAACTGGGTGCTCAGAGGGGTGTACCCCAGCACCCATTGAACTAGACAGACCATGTCACCCGGCAGCTTCTTGGGGCAAGATCCAAAGTGTGGCCCATTTCAAAGGGGACTTGTTTCTCCTCCTGGCTAAATCTGACCTGGGGGCTCCAGCCAGAGGACTGTTCAGCAGGGTGATGGGAGCTGCCCTTCGCTCAGAACCCTCCCTATGTGCAGCTTGAGCAGGCCCAGATGGAGAGGGAGCAGCTTTCAGCCATTTGGTGATCCAGGAAGGTTGTGGAAGCCGAGACAGGTCAGGCAGGATTGGAAGATCCCCTGGCGCCAGCTTCTTGGGCAGCTTCAAGATCCCCTGCTGATAAACCTGGCAGGGCCCTTGCACTTTGATCACAGGAGCACCCTAGATCGGGGGAGCTCGTCCCTTCTCTATTCCCGGGCTAGTCAGACAAGACACATGGAGCCCAGTGAAGAACCACCATGAATGCCCACAGGAGACGGGAGACAATAAGAGGAATATGGGTGTGTTTGTGCCCAATTTACAGATGAGGAAAACAGGTTCAAAAGAGGAAGAGCAGGGCACACGTTTAGCCCCCAAATATCCCCGCAACTCTGCAGTACAGCTGTGAACTGCGGCCACACCTTCTTAGCTTCACTTGCTTCATCTTCACATGTCTTCTTGGGGGAGGGGGTGGGCAGCATGTCACGGTGCTACAGACAGTGGTCCGCATCTCCTCCCAGACCTCCGGCCCCGGCTGCCCTGCTCGAGTGGTCCCCTCACCCAGCGGTGTCCCAGGACCCCCTGCTTCCTCTGGGGCCCCTCATCTGTGCAGTTCATCCTTTCATGACTTCCCTGTGCAGTTTCTCCCACTAGAAGAGCACACAAGGGCAGGACACCTGGCTGAGTATCCAGTACCCTCTGGATCCTAGTCCCGGCACAGGGCTGGGCACGTGGCAAGTTCAAGGGAAATACGGCCTCTGTTACACCCGCAGGGCTCTCAATGATGCAAGATCACCAGATCTGGCCCCGCCATCTGCGACTGTAAATAGAAGTTTATTGGAACGCGGCCCCGCCCATTCACTCACATGTTGTCTGCAGGGGCTCTTAGGCAACATTAATTATGACGGAGCTAGAAATACTTATTCTGGACTTTTCCAGCAAAAAAGCCTGTTGACCCCTGCCCTATGTCGTCATTGGTATCATTTCTTTATGTACATGCCCCTAAGGGAAAAAACGCCCAGGATGCAGAGACAACAAAGGCACTGTGTCTGCAGGGGAAAAGAAATGGAAATATTTCTCCCACTGTCTTGGGGGGAGGGGGAAGGGGACGGGGGCAGGGCCAGGGGTTGGCACAGGCCGGCCTCAACCCTCTCCGTAAAAACGAAACTTCGGTTCCAGCCAAGGCAACTGAAAGATGTTGGCTATTAAGACACACCTGACTTCAGAGGTGCTAACAGGTGCAAACCAAAAGGACACCGGAAAACCAAAAGAACACAGCAACTGTGGAGGGAGAGGTGGTGTCCTCATAATCACCGCAGGTCAAAGGAATCCCACTCAAGGAGCCCCCACCTCCCTGCATGGACAGGGGAGCCCGGAGGGCTTCCCATGCAGGACTGCAGGGACCAGAGAGATGGGAGGAGGCTGGAAACAGCCAGAGGCCCAAAGCCCCCTGCTCAACTGGTCCAGTTTAAAGGGCCACTGTCACGCTGCGCTTTTCATCTGTTAAGAGAACACACGTGTGAAAAGGACAAAACCCAGGCCAGCCGGATGGCCTGATGCCCTGAAGACAGCGGCCACGGAAACAGCTTTGGGGATGGGGGATGGACGCATGGAAAGTCACTCAGCTTTCCTGAGCATAAGAAACACTCCTCCATCAGCCCTGTGTTTGTCCGCTGATCTGCTCAGTCCCGGTCAACACATGTGGGCTCTCCCGGGGGCTCAGCGGTAAAGAACCAGCCTGCAATGCAGAAGTCACAGGAGATGCAGGTTTGATCCCTGGGTCAGGAAGATCCCTGGACAGGGAAATGGCGACCCACTCCAATATTCTTGCCTGGGAAATCCCTTGGACAGGGGAGCCTAGCTACAACCCATAGGGTCACAAAGAGTCGGACACGACTGAGCAAGCAGCCTGCATATTACAGTAAACTCGCAACCAGAATGGCCACAAGAAGACACAGATGTGGAGCCCTTGTCCTGAGACGGGACATGGAGCCCACGCCTTGCCACTGGTGGTTCCCAGATGGAAACTAGCCAGCCCTTTGCAACCAGGGGGAAGGGTGGGACAACTGTTGTGTGGAAAGGAAGGGAACCAGGTGGTATGTTTCTTGAAGAGATGGAGTGATTTAGGGTAAAACAAGAAAAAAGGAAAATGACTGTATAAGGTATACTTTTTCTTCCCTTAATACATCTGCTGTAGATTTAAACATATTCTTAAAAACCAGGAAACAATATAAAGAGGGTTAAAAAATATTGGCCTTACCCTGCCCACAACTGCTAAGAATGTTTCTTGCTAATATACAGTCACATACAAAAAGACCCTTCCCGACGTTGGTCCCCCACCGCCAGTCACTCCATCACCCCAGTGGGTGGAGGCAGGGACTGGTATGTGGACCAGTCCCACCCGGGAGGGAGAGCCGCCCAGCACTCAGAAGGTCGGGGGACAGAGAGACACGTTTCCAAAGTGTCTGCTCTCTGGGCTGTGTTAATGGGAAGAATGGCTGAGAGAGGACGGGAACAGCTGGACTTGGTCCAAGAGGAGTGGCTTGCAGCCACGAGGAGCGGACGGTGACAGGCAGTCCCGGGATTTTAGGCGGACACGTCTGTCTGCTCAGCGGCCCGGCACTGCGTCTGCTGACGGCGGGTTTCCCGTGCAGAGAGAAATGCAC